CAGGGTTTCTGAGGCTGTAAATCTTTACGGGAGCAGAAAGCCTCATCTTTCTCCTGCAGAGCAGCTGGTAGTTTCAAACTCATTACATTACAAGAGCGCTCTCTGTCTCTCTCTCTCTCTCTCTGTCTGTCTCTCTGTCTCTGTCTCTGTCTCTGTCTCTCTCTCTCTCACTTCTGAAGATCAAAAAGCCTTTCCTGGAACGGGTACACAGATCTAAGACTTCTACAACTCCTGTTGGCCTTAAAACCTCCAAATTTTTCATGTATTTTTATTACTGCAAGTAGTACATTTACTTCCCAGAACAAGAAAATACCCTTTCTATTTCCTCTTTCAGCTAATCAAGGGAAGTAATTTAGTTTGCTTTCTTAACTCTCCAGCTTCCAAGTGCCCTTTGTCAGAGGAAGGAATTAGCAACATGCATCATGGAGTCTCTTTACAGACACAGAGTAAAGCCTCCCAACTGTCTTTTTCCAGGCATAGAAAAGAAATTTCCCCAAACTCAACAGATAATCCCATGTGTTATAAGTCGGTTGTTACCTGGAACTGCAATATAAATAAACATTAGAACGTTTATTTAATGTTTCAAAAATATTTCTTGGTGTTTAGCCAGTCATTTAAAATGCTCTCACCAATAAATTATTTTTTGTTATGGATGCAAGTATTTGATGATTAGATTTTAAGGAAGGATAGAAACTAATCTCTTCCCACTCTAATGGGTCACTCGCCTGAGTTACAATGTCTCATTCATTTTGCATTTAATTTTATTAGAAATTACAAGTGGATGCAAAGGCACATTGATTATATTCTAACCTTTATTTAGGAAGAAATTAAGACAAGAAATTCATCATCACCTCCGAAGGCATGCTCAAATGCTGGCTCCTGTTGCTCCGATGTGATGAATACCAAAATGGACATCAACACTGTTTGCATACCAAACTATCTGGATCAGGAAATAAAAGTAAGAGACAAGTTCTTAAATTTATACCTTGGGAGGGTAGCATGAACATATTAAAAAACACTACATCATTAGCATGTTCATCTTTAACATTCTTTAAGGTTTTCTCACTGACACATGGGTTGATTTTAAACTACTTAGCTTGATATTCCTTGGTAATGCTGTTTGAGCTTGCCTGCTAACTTAATAGTTGGTGGTCTAAACTTACCCAGAGGCACTATGGAAGAAAAGCTTGGGGATTATTGTGACGGATTGAAATAATAGCTGAGTCCATGGGCTCAAACATAGCAATGACCATAAAGATGGTGCAGGATTGGGCAATGTTTGATTCTGTTATACATAAGGTCACCAAGATTCACAGTTGGCTCAATGGCAACTAACAACAACCAATTACAATTACAAGCAAGCTCTGAGGATGGTTATCAAATACTCCTGATAAGGAACTCTTTAGAGAGCAAGTAAATGAAATGGTGGAGAAGAGAATGTATCTGCAGACTTTGGATTTACACATGATTTCTTGATAATGCTAGCTAATAACTTTATATTATACAATGTCTTCAGAACCACTATTCATCTAACCCACTTCACTTCAGCTGATCTTTCTGTATAATTTGATTATTCCCACCTTAGGGGTTTTCTACCAGCCATTTACTCTACCAAGAGTCTCTTCTTAATACTATCAGTGGTGGCACCTTCTTTCTCATTCAGGTTTCAGTTTAAATAACACTTATATTTTCCCTGACCAGCCAAGCTAAATTAGCTGCCAAGTTACTCTCCATCCACTCTTTACTACACTTCATTATTATTATTTATTATCATTATTGCAAAACACTTGCCACATTTGATATGCTTCTATTTATATTTTCATTTTTGTCAATCTCCGCACCCATACCCCCACTAAAATACAAGTCCCATAAGATCTCATACTTGTCTACTTCATTTATTAACTTATCTCTAATGCCTAGATGAGTGCTAGAAATTATTCAATAATGAGTGTTGAATAAATAAATTAAAAAGAAAAGTGCTACCAATTGAAGATGGAACTATATAAAATCAGATAGCCACATAAACAGCCAGCCATATGTTCAGTGCAGACTGTCTTGCTTTCTGGGTCATATCAGAAGATCAGCATGATCTTATAGAATTGACCTTATGAAAATTATTATAGAGCCCTCCTTTCAAAAGTGTATTTTTCTTTACAGATATTTAATTACTTATCTGAATGTGAATTGATTAAAAAATAAAACCCCATTAAAATGCAAATTCTTTGAAAGAAGTGGTATTGTCTGTTTTGCTTACAATGGAATCGTCAGTACTTACCACTTTTCTTGAGGAATATTCATTGGCAAAAAGAGCATAGTATTTTACCAACTAGTTGTGGACTATTTTCTTAATAAAAGAAGAGGAACTTAAGACAATAGATCTAATCAAGATTCCTTGGCTCATATAAAAGAAACTTATATAAAATCCATCTTGGAAGTATTTAATCCTTTCATGACTTACATCCAAATATCAGAAACTACTTACTGATGTCCTAGTATCCAAGCTCATAACTCTGAAGAAGGTATGAAATGTTTATCGGCAGTCTGATTGGCTACTACAAGAACAAACAAGTTGTTCACAGGGGAGACATCAAAGCAAGCAATCAAGTCCCACCAGTACAAACCTACCTCTAAGACTGAAACTCAAAGGGAACACAGAGCAGGTATGTAAGCTTGCTGGTGTTCACGTTGGTCTACTGGTGTGTGGAAGTAGAAAAAGGCAGCAATGAAGATATGGGCTGAGTTTAACCACATTCCATAGACTCCCATCAACCTGGAAATGAGAGCGAAAAGAGGAAGGACTGGTTGGTTCAAAGTGGGGTAAGACCTGGGACTCTTGAGCCCATGGACAAGGACATAAGCCATGGAGAGCTAGAGCTGAGAGTGAAGTGTTCAGCTGATATGAAGTGAGGAGAGATGCACAAGAACATCCAAATTTGCAGATAGTACCCATTTGATCTAGTACCCTCTGGTAGAGTTCTGAAATCTATATCTATCTCTATATCTCTATATCTATAGATATAGAGATAGAGATATATATAAAGGAAACAAATGTAAATTGCTACAATTTGGTGAACTTGACCTATACTTATGGATGTAGTATCTCAAAATACCAACTGAGAGGGAAGGAGTCTTCACAATAAGAATCTAACCGATCCCCTCTGTACATGGGGTTGATAGGGATGGGCAATTTACACCTAAATTGGGTGTGGGGTGGAAGTGGGCTATAAAGACATGAAGTGACTGACTTACAATTTTTCAAGAGGGAGTTTAGTTTTAGAGTGTATGGGGGAAGGTAGAATCCCCACTGAATAGTTTTCATCTTGTCTAGATGGGTCTGGTGAAAGGAGATGGGGATAAGATTCTTATGATTCAATAGTGAGTAATTGTTATCATGACTTATTGCTATTGTCACAACTATAAAGATAGAAGTTTTGTAACATAAAGGGAGGAGTAGTTAATTCTACATCACAGGAACAGAGGACCCTAGGACCATCAAGGGAGAAGAGCATGACTGAAATATGGGACCCTATCCAGAGAAGCAGTGACACCAGAGAGGAGGCAGAGATGATGACACAGAGAGATAGAGCAGCTGAGGACTCTAGACTCATGGAAAGAGAAAGGCTGTGTGCTGGTGACCAGGAGTTAGGCTTGCAGAATGTGCCTTATGGTTGTTTAAGTGATTATATATTCCTGAGTGTTTTTGTTTATATAAACACAAAGCGAACAAAAACAGAGGGAATAGAAGTAAATACTGTTGAATGATAATGCATGGAGGGGATTGTAATCATTGCAATGAAATGAAATACGATAGGATGAGTGCAAAAATGATGTTCTTCCATGTAAACTATCACTGAATTCACAATAAAAGGTTTTTGTGTTTTTTTTAAAGAAATGTTTATGAAAGTTTGTTGGTGTTTAAAAGAATAAAAAGTTTCAAAATCATCTACTTTAGGATTTAAAAAAAAAAAAATCCCCCCCCCGCACACACACACAAGATTCTGTATTTATCATTAGTACATTCAACACAGGTTTTTGCTTTGGAGCACACTCCTAATCATGGCACTGGAAAGTGGAGTCATAAAAAAGAACCAGAGCTTTACTAGACAGAGGGGGAAAATTTAGAGTTTCGGGTTGCTAAGGTGACTGGAATTTTCAAAGAAAGATACTGAAGGAGAGGGATCTGTGCCAAGAATGGACTCCAGAAATCTTTATAAGACTACTATTGAGCATCTGGTCCAATAGCTGCACATGTAAAAGATGAGATTCTGAGACTTGGATGAAAAGAGCTAATGGGACTTTCATAGAGCTTACAAATATTAGAGTTCTGATCTGGCAGAGTGGAGAGACCTTACTGGACAAAGCAGGAATTCACTTGAGATCCCCCAAAATGTCACACCCTTAGAGTAGAGTTACTATACCCCTAAATGAAGTCTACTCTAGTCATACTATCAAATTCTAACAATATATTTCTGCAGAACAACCTTACCTGCCAATACATTAACTGTTTTTCGAACCCAGGGAGGTAATCAAAATCCAGGCACTCACCATTGTAGCATTTACAAAGCTCAGAACACCATAAAACTTTATTAGACATGCAAAGAGCAGGAAAATATGGTCCATGTTGCTGTTGTTGTTAGGTGTCATCAAGTCAGTACCTACTCATAGCAACCCTATACACAACAAAACAAAACACTGCTTGGTCCTGCACCAATCTCACAATCATTGCTATGCCTGATTGCTGCTGCACTGTGCCAAGCCATCTAGTTGAGAGTCTTCCTCTTTTTTGCCGACCATTCACTTTACCAAACATGATGTCCTTCTCTAGGGACTAGTCCTATCTGACAATATGTCCAAAGCCATCCTGGCTTTCAAGGCACATTTTGGCTGTGCTTCTTCCAACACAGATTGGTTTGTTCTTTTGGCAGTCCATGGTACTTTTAATATTCTCCTCCAACACCATAACTCAGATGCATCAATTCATCTCCAGTCTTCCTCATCCACTCTCCAACTTTCACCTGCATATGAGGTTATTGAAAATACCATCACTTGGATCAGGTGCACTTTAGACCTGAAACTGATATCTTTGCTCTTGAACACTTTAAAGAGACCTTGTACAGCAGGTTTGCCTAATGCAATACACTGTTTAATTCTTGACTGTTGCTTCTAAGAGTGCTGATGATCGATTCAAGGAAAATTAAGTCTTTGATGACTTTAATCTTTTCTTCATTTATGTGGATGTTGTTTATTGGTCCAGTGGTGAGGATTTTTGGTCTTTTTTACATTGATGTGCAATCCATACCAAAAGCCTTTGATATGCATCTGTACTTTAAGTCCTCTTCACATTCAGTAAGCAAGGTTGTATCATCTGCATATCGCACATTGTTAATGAGTCTTCCTCCAATCCTGATGCCTCATTTTTCTTCATATAATACAGCTTCTTGGATTATGCACTCAGCATAAGGATTGAAAAAGTATGGTGAAGAAATACAACTCTGGCATACACCGCTGTTAATTTTAAACCATTCGGTGTTCCCTTACTCTGTTCGAATAACTGCCTGTTGGTCTATGCACAGGTTCCTCGTGAGCCCAATTAAGAGTTCCGGAATACTCATTCTCCTCAATATTGTCCATAGCTTGTTATGAACCACACAGTCTAAAGTCTTTGCATAGTCAATAAAGCACAGGTAGGCATCTTTCTGGTAGTCTCTGCTTTCAGCCAAGATCCATCTGACATCAATAATGGTAGTCTCTCATTGCACATCCTCTTTCTGAATCTGGCTCCAAACTCTGGCAGTTCTCTGTCAACGTACATTTGCAACCATTTTTAAATTACCTTTAATAAAATTTTACTTGTATGAGATATTAATGATATTGTCCTATGACTTCCATTGAGTCACCGCTCTTTGGAATGGGCACAAATATAAATCTCTTCTATTAATTTGGCCAGTCTTCCAAATT